GCTCTCCTGAGGCACATTGGGTGGATGCACCTGAGGCTGATGCAGTCCTGGCTTACCAACATGCTCTGACAACTCTGGCTTTTGGGGCTGCTTTACCTGGCAGCTCAGGGTTGGGCAAGGCCGGCAGGCAGACTGCTCCTTGTGCGGGCAGGGCCGGCAGCTAGGCCCCTGGGGTGGACAGGGTCGGCATGAAGGCTGCTTCTTGGGTAGGCACGAAGCTTTTAGTTGCTGGGGCACCTGTGACTGCTTGGGTTTGCACTGACGTGGTTGAGATGCCCGTAGATTTGGTAGGGGCTGAACATCAGGCTTTGGTTCTTTGGACACAGAGCCATTCTGTTTTAGGGTTTCAGATTCAGGGTGATACTGGTTAGAGGAGGACATAGTTGTGTTGTGGCTTTTTGCATTCAAGGGCGAGGTATGATTTCCAAACGTCTCACTACCATGCGAAGTGTCATTCCCAGAGTTAAGACTACTTAAAACCAATTGATCATCTGCAACAGGCACCTTCTGATCTGCAGGTTTTTCAAAAGGGACAGTGTTATAGGCTTTTAAGCAAAAATTTAAGTCTACAAAATGCAATGGTGTGTTTGCTTACCATTTGCTTGAGCTCCTCCCACAACTAACAAGAACAGCATCCACCATCTAGACAAAATACCAAAATGACTAAGCTTTAATAACACAACTTAAGAGATGGTTGGATACAGATATTAGTAAAAACAGTTTTAAAAGCTTACCTTAATAGAAAACTCATGGTCTCAGCTGCAGGAAGCAGCAAACTCTGCCACTTCTGTCAGCTGCTACCAAATCAAGAAGCTGAAAAACACAGCAAGGCCAGTGCAGCCCTTTTAAAAATTTTTCCTCTCTGTCATGGGTGGTTAATTGGACTCAGGTGTGATTGTTTGTATGCAGGTGTAGCTAATTAGGAAACCAGAAAAGGATTTTGGGGAAACAGGCTGTATCCCAATTCAGGGTCTGCAGCCTTAAAGGCTGCACTTTATAGCTGATTACGTCACAGCGACGCCAAAGGCTGTCCCAATTCGAAGGCTGCTCGAAATGCAAATATAATATGGCCAATATTATAGTTATTATATTAATCATTATTAGTCATTACAGCAGTGAGTTTGAACTCTGTGTCAAATAC